AGCAATTAACCACTAAGAATAATATATGCAGTGTATTATTTGTTGAAACTGTACTTCCGATTTGATTTGAAACTGTCTCATTGCTATATGTTTATCAATAAACTGGTGTCTTTCATTTAAAAAAAAAAATTGTTCCATTTGTATGGGAAGCTTGTTTTCTTTGAAACACCTTGGTTCTTGAGTCACCTTTTTTTTTTCTCTCTCTCTCTTAACGGAGTCTCATCTCCTTTGTAAGAAACAGCTTCTTTTCTTAGGTAATCATTTATTGGTTCTTTCAGTCACTCAAAATATTCATTCATTCAATATCATTATAAGACAACTATTTATCTGGCAGTATACTGAGCTTTCAGAGTACAAAAATGAAAAGGACAGATCCCTGTTCTCAAGAATCACTGCTCTCTGTCCTTCCAGGTAGGTAGGCTGACCTGGAAAGCACACAACACCATGTGGTAAAGTTCATAGTGGAAAGGGATGCAAAACCCGGTAAGACAAGGAAAAGCAGGGCCTCGATGTGCCCAAATAGGGTAGAGTAGACTCAAATGAAGTAAAACTTGGACTGAGGTTTTAAAGGTGACAAGAGGACAAGTCAAGGAAGGTCATGAGATCTTGGTCAACAATCAGAGACTTGTGTTCTCCTTCCACAGTATGGCATTTTTATGGGAGTTTCCAATCTCCCATATGTTTTGATGGGGCCAGGAGGCTAGTTCTCAAATAACATAAGGAGTGAGTGTATCATTTGTGGATCAGGTTAAGAAGGTGGTATGCCTTTGCTTCCTTTTCTTCCTCACTTATGAGCTCTGGAAGTGAAAGACTGATGCTTAGAGGATGCTAGAGCAACAGAACAGAAGAAACCTGTGAGGAAGCCTGCATGCCACACCGAACTGCTTCATAGCTAAGAAATAAGCTTTGATTGTGTTAATCTACTGATTTTTCACAGCATGTTTGTTACAGCAGCAAGCTATATCCTAACACAAAACATTCCAGCAGCACTGGCCAGATAGTTCAGCAAATTACAGCGCCTGCTTACGCAGATGCAGGGACTGGGGTTCTATCCCTGGGGTGGCGTGCCAGCCCTGCCCCCTGGGTGCGCTGAGACAGTGATTGAGACTGGGCATGGTGGTGTGCACATATAATCCCAGTACTTGGGAGGCTGAAAACAGGAGAATCACTACCAGCTTGATCTGTGTAGTGAGACCCTGTAGACCATGTACTAAATACATAAAAAAAAAAAAATTCCAGCAAGCACAACATGTACATTTAAAAGTGTCTATCACAGAGTGTATGTTCAATGAATATTTGATATGATAGTTAGGATGTTGTGGAAAATGCGAGTAACTAGTATTGCCAGAGTATAAAGTGCATACTGAAGAATTTTGGCTTAATCTAATACAGAAAGCGAAGTCAATGAACACTATGAAAAGGAGAAGCAGCATCACCGAAATAATCAGGTGTCTACAAACATAACATCCAAGAGCGTGCTTTCACATTCTTTACATGTAAGATGCTAATTGGAGGATAAAGCATTTTAGAATCAGTACGCACCACAGTCTGGTCAAAGCTCATTTAACAAATGAGGAAAGTGAGGCTCAGAGAAGTTAAACACCTTTGCCAAGATTACCTAGCTAACACTTGGCAGCTGCGGGCCTGGACAGTCGATCTTTTGTCACCAGCCCTACAGTATGGCTCTTTCCACTGTAGCACAGTGCTTCAAAGCAGTGGAGACCAGCTGGTGTGCCTGTATTCAGTTTCCTAATGAAGACATTAGGGATTTAGAGACAGGGTATTTTCCATGGAAGGCAATTTTTTTTTGTAATTCCTCATCTGATCTAAACCAGTATTTTGGAAAAGGTTCATTTTTCAGCATCAGATTTCCCTGGAGGATGATTGAGAATATGCTGAGTGGCCCATCAGGTGCCCCTGCACTGAGTCTTTTTTTTTTTTAAGATGCAAAGTCACAGTGGCTTGAGCTCCTGTAAGGGCTGCCTAGTCCCCTGGCATCTGGGGAGTTTGTTGACTCACTGAGCTGAACTGTGGTTCCACCAGCTACCTGAGTGTCCTTTCAGGGGTCAGATCCAAAAGTCATCTCCAGTTTATCTGCTTAAAACTTCAGCATTTTAATATTTTTTGTTCATCAGTTTGCCACTTCTGGTTTTCCTGTATTAAACTGATTCATTATTCCTTAAAATTATTTTTACTGTATATGCAATCTGAGGCCACATAATATAGATTTGTTCTTTAACAAGTTGAAGTGAAGAGTGGCTATGTTGAGACTAGTCTCAGAGAAACATCATGCAGTCTGATTTAAGTACAGCTGGATATTATCGAATTATTTTACAGCTGGGGAAGACAGCATAGGTTAGGGGTGGAGCAGAAGGTCATTGGTCCAAAAGTCTCCAGTAAATCTGGGTAAAAATAGATTGTTGTTGTTGTTGTTTTATAACCACTTTGCTCCTTTTTGTTTGGCTGGATCATCTTTGTCTCCCTTTCACATTATTCAATTGATAGCTCAGAATGTTAAGAACAAAGATGCTAGCCATGACAAGGTATTACTGCAAGTAAGCTTGCTGTCTGTCCTATTTTTTCTCATTGCTGAGACAAAATACCTGACATCCAAAATTAAGGAAGGAAGGGTTTATTTAGCTTATAGTTAGTGGAGGTTTCAGTCCATACTTGGCTGGCTCCAAGACAGAGTGGCACATGGCAGAGGGCAACAGTTCACGGTGACAGAAGACAGCAAAAGCAGCAAGAGCAAAAAGGGAGGGGCTGGCAGGAAGAGCAAACCTCTTTCCCTCTCTTCTATTATATGCAGGTTGCCTGCCCCAGGATGGGTGTAGCACTCACACCCATAATCCCAGCATTGAATCATGAATCAATCATAAACTATATTCCTGCCCCATGACTTTGCGGGGGGGGGACATCTAGACACAAACACTAACACTGTCTCTGTTCCTAAGAAATGTCTTGGTGGCACTCAAAGAGACGCTCATAAGCAAAAAAAAAAAAAAAAAAAAAAAAAAAAAAGGTGCTCGTGCTTTGAAATGAGAGAGACATCTGCTACACACTAGCTATGAGAACTTGGGTAAGTTTCTTAATTTCTCTGAGCCTTAGTTCTTTTATATGTGATGTAGAAAAATAATGTACACTATAGGGTGAGGATTAAATAAAGTAGCATATGTAAAGCTCCTTTCTTAGTGCAGAGAACACAGTTAATGCTTAAATTATTTCCTTTATGAGTCACTGTGAGGATCTCATTAATAGCTTTCTTTTCCCCACTACCCATTTCTGCTTCTACTCAAGATGAGAGACCAAAGAGTGAGCAGATGGAAACCAAAAATGTTACCTTTGTCTTTGTCACTTTGGTAAAGTATCACAGAGTTGGTGGTTACAAACAACAAGCATTTATTTCTTCCAGTTCTAGAAACTGGAAGTCCAACACCAGGATGCCAGTATGGCCAGCTTATGCTGGGGACTTCTTCTAGGACCTGAAGTACAGACTTCTTACTGTATCTTTACGTATCATTATCAAGAGGAATAAGAGAGTTCTCTCTGGGGTCCTTTTCATAGTGGTACTGATCCCCCGACTTCTTGAACAACCCACCTCCTTATAGTGTCATATTTGGGGAAGAGCAAATCAACACAAAAATTTGGGGAGAGGTTGTTATTCAGTCCATAAGAACTTTATTGTTAAAGTAATTTTAATGTGAAAGTTAATAGTACTGCTAATTGAATTTCATAATTAGCTATACTTATTTCTCTACCACAGGTAATAACATTTTACCAGGACAGGTAAAGTCTACTGTAGGTGAGGGTTGGATTAGCAAGGTGATGCTTTCAATAGGACAGCACAGCCAAGTAATATCCTCAGTGTGGGCAGACAAAAATCCAAGGAAAAAGGAGAAGCTTGACTGAGCATGCCCTGTGTATTCTTCACAAACTCACCAATCAGGTACAGCCATGACTCCAAAGAGGAGGCATAAGAATATGGGAGCCAAAAGCATCAAGCTTTCACAGGGAAGGACACCTCAGAAGCACATCCCCAGTTTCTTTTCTTTTCCCCCTTCTCCTTCCTGTTGTATATGTTACTTTTCAGCCATCCTGCTCATGGTTGGCAGTGTGAAGCTGAGGACAGTCCCAGAGTACAAAAGGTTGGCAGCGAGGTACTTGGGGAGGGCAGGAAAATTTGGGTAGGGTCATTGGTTGACAAAGAGGTGGCGATCTGACTTCAGAAAGAAAAGTCGAAATTCAGAATCAGGACCTAATGTTCAGAGACCTGTTCCTGACACATTTCCAGGCATAGCAAAATACCCTAGGAAAAATTCCCAGGACAGATGGGCAGCAAGGCTTCCAGTGGCATGGATGTGATCCATGAACTCCAGAGCTCCCTCTCCCTGAGGTGATTCTCAATCCTAGATTTGGGCTATATCCTTCTGCTCCAATGTTTAATCTTTAAAATAGAGATATATTTTGTGATTATAAAAATAACATATATATGCTCATTATGAAATACTCGGAAACTCAGAGAGGTCTAAAAAACCTCACAAAAATAACCCAATCTCAACACAAGGAAAGACTAATGTTTTCTTTGACTATATTTCTAGTCAGTCTTCTTGGCATATGTTATACAGATAAGGTGATTATGACTATATATTTTAATTCTGTGTGCTGAATTCTTTCTTAAATGGAAAAAGATAGTTTTCAGTAATTAAATATCATTTTAAATTACATTGGTGGGGGGAGTTCCGGTTCTGGTTCTTTGTGCAGCTGCAGCCGCAGCTCTGGGAAGATGGCAGCCTGGGTGGATTTTCAGTCTGTGGCCCCGAGCAGAGGCGCAGGAGCCTCAGGAGGGGCAGGCGCAGTGACTACCCTAGGCCAGACGGAACTCCCAGAACTTCATGCTTCCAGGTGGCCGAATGACACCTCAGGGACCTTCCATGGGACCTCCTGGCTATGGAGTGAACCCTTCAATCCGACCTAGCCTGGCCCATCAGGGATGGACCAGTCCCGCAAGAGACCAGCACCTCAGCAGATCCAGCAGGTCCAGCAGCAGGCAGTCCACAATCGAAACCACAATGCAAAGCAAAAGAGGATGGCTGACAAAATTCTACCTCAAAGGATTCGTTAACTGGTACCAGAATCCCAGGCCTCTTGGCTTTTGAAAGGAAACTGGACCAGACTATAATGAGGAAACATGTAGATATCTAAGATGCCTTGAAATGTCCCATCAAGCAAAAATGGAAGCTGCACATTTTCATCTCTAACACTTTCAATCCAGCTAAATCAGATGCTGAGGATGGGGAAGGGATGGTGGCATCCTGGGAGCTTCGGGTAGAGGGATGGCTCCTGGAGGATTCAGCCTTGTCCAAATATGATGCCATCAAACAAAAGAGGAAATTCTCTTCCTTTTTTAAGTCCTTGGTGATTGAATTGGACAAAGACCTGTGTGGACCAGACAATCATCTAGTAGAACCTCCCCAGTTTAAATTAAACCTTCATCTGGCTTGGCTCCTGCGTATCCACACCCAGACTCATCCAGGGATTATCCAAGCACTGTGGCAATACATTAGGACACATAAACTCTAAGACCCTCGTGAGCAGGAGTTTATCTGTGACAAGTACCTCCAGCAGATCTTTGAGTCTCAATGTATGAAGTTTTCAGAGATCCCTCAAAGGCTGCATGCCCTGCTTATGCCACCAGGATCCATTATCATTAATCATGTCATCAGTGTTGACCCAAATGACCAGAAAAAAACAGCATGTTATGACATTGATGTGGAAGTGGATGCTACCCTGAAGACCTAGATGAATTCTTTTCTGCTGTCCACTGCTAGCCAGCAGGAGATTGCTACTTTAGACAACAAGATCCACGAGACAATAGAAACTATCAACCAGCTGAAGACCCAGTGGGAATTCACGCTCAGCTTTGCCAGAGACCCTCAGGTTTTTATCAATGACTGGCTTCAGTCCTAGTGCTGGGACCTCAAGACCATGACCAATGTGATGGGCAACCCAGAGGAAGAGTGCCTAGCCGAGTTCTACTTCCAGCCTTGGGCTCAGGAGGCCATGTGCCGATACTTCTACTCTAAGGTGCAGCAGAGACAACAAGAATTAGAGCAAGCTCTGGGAATCCAGAATACATAGGACTTCTCATGAAGCCCTGATTTGGCTGTACTGATTCATTATTTGGGCCCTGTGCTGCTTGTCTCATAGTACCTGCCTTGGTCTTACTTAGGGCCTTTGGGGAACTGTTGGTTCAAGGACAATACCAGAATGAAGAGGTCTCACATTTCTGTCTCACAAGACATGTATTTTAGCCTCTTCTGTCCAATTTCTTCTTACCTCCAACTTCCCTTTGTCCCAGAGTTCCCATGTGCCTCTGCCTTTCCCTGGTCTGCATCGGACCGCTAGATAGTGTTACAGAGAGAACCGATAGCAGTAATTAGTGCTCTGAAGGGACTGGGCCTAAGGCCAGGTGGTCTTTAAGGGGACCAACTATATTGATCCTGCCCTTCAAAGACCCAGGAATTAAGAACTGTCAACCCTCCTCCTAGATTCAGGCCTGGGGGTGCTCTGTAAGCCAGTTGACTTGCTCTCCTGACGACAGAGCCCAGTTTCCTTCTTTCACACATTTGGAGCAATCTCTTCCTTCACTTGTTGCCCCCTAGCACTAAGGAACCCTGGCTTGGGCTCCACCAAGCCCAAGGTCAGTTCCTAGCCCTATGGATTGGCCTGTTGTATTAGTGCTTTTCTTGATTCCTTAGTAGGGGTCCACATCAGATTGGAGCTTGTTCTTGAACTGTTGCTCTCTCTCACACACTCCTTGTAGCTGCCCTTTGTAGAATTCCCTCATGCCTGCCCTAGCCCTTGGTATTTGAGCAAGAGAATCTTGTCTTTTCCTGTCAGAGTCCCAGACATCTAATCTGGGGACTGTGGTTACCAGCAGAGGCTGTTCCTGCTGTTGCTTGGAGGGATGACTCATTCACTCCTCCCAGCTCCTCTCTCTCAAAGGAGAAACAGGCCTAAATTCAAAGAGGTAAAGCCCTGGCCAGTCCTGTCTTCTGTCCATCTGCCCTGTTGATACTCACTTGTGACTTCTAGGACACTGAGGAGTGAAAGCACCAAGGGCTGCAAAATAGCTCTGAGTTGGATATGTGACTTTTCCCTATTCCGGCCTCACAGGATTGTGACTCCCCAACCCCTGCCCTCAAAGCTTCAGACCCCTTAGGTAGCAACACCTGGGGATTTTGGCCCCTTGCAACTGAGGTGGTTTTGCATCTCTCCAGGAGGGCCTCAGATTCATAGGGGTTGTGCCACCCTTGAGTTAGCATATCTCAGACTTGCAGACTCAACACAGCAGGGTGGGAAACAGCTGGGCATGAGAATTCTGCTCAGCATGGGCTCTGAAGCCACAGAACTGATGAAGGCCCTGCTTGCCCACCCTCCTTAGGTTCCTGTGAGCACATCACACTGCCCCTCACTCCTCCCTGTTCTCCACTGGGGACAGCAGAGTGTTCGCCCCATCATCCTCTTCTTGCCATATTTCTACCCCTCCAGCAAAGGTTCTCTTCCAATGACAGTGGTCAACCCTGGGGCCACTGATCCCGGTCTGTCTCCTCCCTGGAATCAGGGCGAAGGCTCAGTGCTCCTACACAGCGTCTCTGTTGAAGATACATTTTTATCATAATTAACAATTATGTTTTTCATGGACCAAAATGTTTTTGTATTGTCCTTTTATCATTGTCACCCACTTTTAATAAAATAATCTTCTGAAGAGTGAAAAAAAATTTAAATGACATTTTTCTTCATTTTCAGCACATTTGAATCCATTTCTACCAATTCATGAAAATTCAGAGGGGTAAGAGAGACCTTTTTCTAAGTTTTACCTTTTTCTCAGCATGTACAAGTCATTCCCAAGGGGTGGGACTCCTCAGGCATGTGTTTGTTAACTATATAAGTCCTAGTCTTCTGATTTTTCACACATCTCAACCATTGATGATGGAGGGATCAGAAGGTGATACCTGTTACCATTATGGCAAAAAGCAACAATTCAAAGCATGAGCCCTTCTTAGACATTACATCATTGTTACGTATCCAAAATAACCACTATATTAGCCTGCAAGGGTTTCCATGACAAAATACTATAAATTGCCAACATTTTGGCCCTAGCCTTCCAAGGTCAATTAAGACTCAGGACATATGAGAACTTGTACTGTAACGTCATGTAACTCAGTTCCAAATTTTCTAATCAAGGAGATTATGGGGCCAAAGAAGAAAGTGATCGATGATGTAGAGTGTGCCTATGGAGAGTCACATGGAGAGAAAACATTCTCTCAGGCTTTCACAGACAGCACATTGGCCAAGCAATGGCCGTGACTCATCCACAGGGCGACACTGACAAAGGATCTACAATCTGAGGTACAGGATCTCAGGATAAATCCTGAGGGGATTTCACTGACCTTATCAGACCCAAAAGCTACAACTCTTGTTGCATAGGTCTTGCTTTATCTTGGTCTTAACCATCCAGCAGAAAAGTATAAAAACAAAGTATAAGAAGTAAAGCCATGGTGTTATGTTGGGCTATGGGGGGACTCAGGTCAACAATTTCTGACATTGCCAGTCAAGCGGAAGACTAAGTACTGTTGTGGACTGCTGAACTCTTTTGGAATGTCTTGCTGAGTTAACACACTATAATATTCAAATCACGGAACTAAACAAAAAAGGGGATACAGATGAATGTCCATTTTGTATCTGTGCATTCAAAATGGTTAGGATAGATACATAGTTACATTCTCTTAATGAATAGAGGGATTTGTTCTAATATTGTTTGTAAATAGGATATCATGTCTGCATCTTGTACAGCAAATAACCACTAGGAAGAGAGTATGCAAAGTGTTAATTATTGAAACTATCCTACCAATTTGATTGGAAACTGTCTCATTGCTATTTGTTTCTCAATAAAATTATGGGAAAAAAAACCCAAAATACCATAAATTGGATGACTTAAAAAACAGAAATGTATTTCTAATACTTTCAGAAGTTGAATGTCCCAGTTCAAAGTGCCAGCAAGGTTGGTTTCTCCTAATGCCTTTGTCCTCAGCCTACTTCTGTTTTTTTTCTGCCTGTGTCCTCACATGGGCCTTTCCTCTGCATGTACACAGCCCTGATATGTCTCTGTGTGTCCAGATTTCCCCCTCTTATAAGGATAAAACCATGTTGCATAAGCGCCCACCCTAAAGGCTTTAATTTGAATTACTTGAAGATATTATTTCAAATTTTGATCACATTCTGAGGTCCAGGGGTTAGGACTTGAACATACATTGAGTTGATGGAAGCACAATTCAACTCCTAACACCAACCCGTTAAAAATGAGTACATGGGGCTTATTTTTTGGGAAAAATGTACTTCTAAGATGCTAGTAAACAGATACTTCATCTTCTAGAAATACATTGATGTCGTTACTTTAAGTCACAGCTACTGAGTAACAGGAATTTGCTCTTTTGCAGCACCCAACAAGTGATCAACTGCATAGTGAACTAATTTCCTGAAAGACAGGATGCCTTGGTCTCCCAGGAAATTAGTGGAGTTGCCCTGGGACTACAGTACCCAAGAGGGCTAGACAAAAATCTACAGAGGTCTGAGGGGTATGGAGCTTCTGCTCCTTATCGTTTTCAAGCTACATCCCTCATCCTTTCTCTAATTTTTTTTCTTTTTGAGACAGGGCTTTTCTAAGTTACTAAGTTGCCCTGCCTGGGCTCAAACTTGTGATCTTCATACCTCAGTCTCTCAGAATTCTGGTTTCCAGGTGTGTGCCACAGTGCCCAATAACAGAATTTCTTGTGTTTGGTAATTATTTCGTTGGACATGGAAGTCCATTTCACATGTGCTTATTTTTTCTCCCTCCCTAAAAGACCATTATTAAAATTTTTAAAAGAGACCCTTTCAGATATTTTTTTCAAATTTCAAAATTTGTGAACTTTGTGCTAAGTAGTATTACCCTTCTCCAAACATTCTTGGTTTCTTCCCTGTTCTTTCTCCCTTTTGGAAGATTGTACTTCCTTCCCTTGAGGGTGGGGTGATTTAGTTTGGGTTCACATCATCTTTTCCCTCTCCATGACAACCAGGGAGGGATAATAGCTGCTCCATCCTTATAGGCCCCGCCGTGAAAACAAACTGGAGCAGAGCCACGCCTGACTTACAAGGGACAAGAAGCATGGATGAGATATAAACTATTATTGTATGCCACTGAAATTTTGGGGTCATTTGTTTCTGCAGCATAACCATAATTTTCCTGATACGCGACTATAGCATATCATTTCTGTCACAAAAGACAGCAAAGGATAGCATCCTGTGACTCCATCTGACATCTAATGAGGACTACTACAAATGTGACAGATCTAGATGTGGATGCTAATCAGGAGGTAAAAGCCATTCTCTAGCTATGTGACCTGCTTGGAGGCAGCAGCTTCACTCCCCAAGTTGTTTGGATTTACACTTCAGTGACTTCATGACATGGATCTTTTGAGCCAACAAGGAAGAGTCAGACATCAATTAGCGATATTTTTATTCAAAAGATACTCACTAAATTAATGTTGAGTATTTATAAGTAGATAGCAATTAGTACATTATAATTAATAAATGTAAGCTCTGTTTATTCTTTCATTTCTTTTCTCCTCTCCATTTTCTTTCACCTTTTTCTGTTTTCTCTTCCCTTTCATTCTTTATTTATTTTTTTACTGTTTTCCTATTTTTGTTACCCAGCTGATCCCAGTATTGGGCTGGAAGTAGAGCTAATGGCAGAGGAATTGTATTTGATTCTTAGCACCAAAAGAAAGAAAAATAACAGTAACCATGGCTCCTACTTACTCAAGTTGGATTAGGAGGTGCCAAATTCTAGGGGTCTTCAGTGTAAAGTTTGTCCAGTGTAAGGACAGCCACCACCTATCCTGGCCACTATGTGCTTTTTTATATGAATATGCCATAATTTGTTCATTCTTTAGGTCACTGGCATGGGTTGTTTTCACTTTTTGTTCATCATAAATAATGCTGCTATGAATTGTTATGTACTAGTATTTGTGTAGACATGTTTTCATTTCTCTTGGCATGTGTATGCCCAAGAAGGAATTGCTTAATAATTTTGCAAC